GAAGGAAGGAAGGAAGGAAGGAAGGAAGGAAGGAAGGAAGGAAGGAAGGAAGGAAGGAAGGAAGGAAGGAAGGAAGGAAGGGAAAGAGGAAGGAAAAATAATCTATGATCTAGTGTAGTAAATTGGTGAGGGTTGGAAAACTGTAGCCTATGAGCCAAATCCTGACTGCCACCTGGTTTTAAAAAAAAAAGTCCTCAGTCAGAAGCATCTTTGCATTTTTACTTTGCTTCAGTTCTCTGCAAAGGCCTCAGTTGCAACATCGAGATTATGGTTTTTTTGCACTTATGCATTACTGCCCAGCCATTGTTTCCACAGCATATCTCCAAGGCCAGTTTGCTAAGTCTGAAGGTACTTCCAGCCAAAGCTACGTACAGTGATGGGGTCAAATTTCTCCTACACACCTCAAGGATGAGCTGGACCCCAGTCCCAACCACTCATCTCATGGCGAGTTTCCTTTCAAGACCCTATGAGAACACTTCTATTCATGACAAGCATTCTAGGACTTGAACTTCAAAAGGAAATGACTACAATTTGGTTCTCCCTCTCCCCTTGGGAGATTTTGGCCTCTGTGTATGAAAGGATATTAGAAAGGGCAGCCTTTAAGATCACAAAAGACCTTCTCATATCCATCCCCTAAATTTGAGGGTACTATTGGTTTCACAGTTGTGTACAGTGGCATAATTGCTTAGGAAAGGGTCTAGAAGATCTACTCCAAAGTGTTGTCTAGAGTCTCCTCTCATAGACAAGATATCTAGCAATATTTCTCGCTAAGATCCTTTAAAGTTCTACTTTACAAGGTGCCTTATTAGAAGTTTAACATAATTTTTTCAAACTGTAATTCTTTGAACAATAACAATCTATGTAGAGTATGTATAGTAAATCTCATGTAATACCAGTGTTATAACACATCTCATCATGTACACCTAGTATTCACATATCTTCCCCATTACTGTCTTTATTATATGCTATCACCTTGTATTACGATTAGGTCTTTATGCCTCTTTTAGAATGGCTCAGGGACTAGACTATCCAGATTTTCTCAGCCCATGTACATATCCTGGCTTGCCAAGGACAAACATTTTATGAAAGTGGAAAGTCCTTATAAAAAGAAAAATAGTGACACCAACTCTCCCTTCTACCCCTCCCTGGGCCCATGGCAGGGTCCTCTCCCAGCTGGGCTTCTCCCTCTTTCAACCCAAGTGGGTGATGATGGATATTGACTCAGATATGTGGGCTCTTACGAGACAAAGGCAGGGAGAAGAAGAGAAATGGATCTCTAAGCTTCCTCGAAAATCAGGTGGCAAATGCCCATCTCCAGAGATTGGCATTCTTCCACTCCCTTGCCAACTTATTCCAAATAACTAAGACTTACTTTTCATTTCTTAAGGACACTTAATCAGCGGAGTCAGGGATTTAAGTATTGTTTGTTGAACAGGACATCTTATCATGAGAATCTAAGCATTTTTCTAGCAGATCTTGATGACCGAAAGTTAGCTGTGATTATTCGTGTGGTTAGGAGCTGCCATGGACTAAATTGTGTCACCCCAAAATTCATATGCTGAAGCCCTAATTCCCAATGAGACTAAATCTGGAATAGGGTCTTTAGGAGATAATTAAGGTTAAATGAAGTCAGAAGGGTGGGCCCTAATCCAGTAGGACTGTGGCGTTATAAGAAGAGGAAGAGATATTCTCTCTCTCTCTCTTCCTCTCTTTCTCTTCCATGAGAAGATATAATCAGAAGGTGACCTTCTGCAACCTAAAGAAAGAACAAGAGTTCTCACCAGACATCAACCCTGCGAGCAAAGTGATCTTGGATTTCCAAACTTCAAGACAATGAAAAAAATTCTGTTGCTCAAACCACTCAATCTATGATATTTTGTTAGGATGGCCTGAGCTCACAGATATGGGAGCCCGGGCTCTAAATCCTTATACTTACTGAATCCGTGCTCCTTCACGTCCCTGGATGTGTGACTTTTGTTAGGTACTTGCCCTCTCTGTGCCTCAGTTTACTTCCCTATGAAATAGGGATAATAATGTTATTTATTAATGGGTTATTTTAAGGATTCAGTGGTTTAACATATATAAAGTGCTTATATGGTAAGCCCCCAACAAGTTGACTTTTATGATTATAAACTCCAAACATACTTAATATGTAGCTGCAAACATTGTAAAGTTGTCTGGCCAAAGACCAAGTCCAAAGTCACAACAGTTTTTCAGGAAATTCATCACGCACATGACTCATTTTCTCCTTACTTTGTAAGATGGCCTGATCCAAAGTGATACTTAAAAATTTTTTTTCTCTATGGCATCAGCCTTTTCTGACAGATTGTAGCCTCAGAAGGACAGAAAGTCTTGTTTTTCTTTGTAACCACGCTTCCCCTTAAGAAAATACTCCATGTTGGTTGAAGGAAGGAAAGCCGGACGGGGGAAATAAAGGGAAGAAGAAAGAAAGGATATGGAATATTTTATTGAATTTTTAAAAAATCTCCAGAAATTTGTGATACATGCATTTAGGCTGACATTAAAGCATATGTACATCTCCCGTAAAACACAGTGAGGGAACAAAATGGCAAGATCACAAGCTAAAGAAAAACTACCACCACATTTTCATTTTCATTAATTCAGCCTGAAATGTGGCTTTGCATCACTGACGAAGGGGCTCACTTCCTTAAGGCGATGGTCAGATAGGAAATTGTAGCACTTTTCCTGTGAATAGTATAATGCTTATTATACAGTCTTTTTAGACAAAATTTAATCATGGCAAAGAATTACTCACTATGTCCATATTAATAATAAAAATACTATGTCAGAACAAAAAACACATTTTAAGCCTCTCAGAATATCAAAATAGTGAAGTACATTTGGGCAAATCTCTAAGAGAGACCCCCACTTTTTTTTAAAGTAACAATAATATGTATTTATAGTGTATAAAAGCTTACATTGCAATGCAATTTACAGTCTGTTTAGAATTTCACGGTATTGAAGTATATTCAGATAAGTGTCTATTAAAAACCCTCATTTCATTTGTTTCCCTCACCCGAGGGCGTTTTTCCATTGCTTTTAGAGGGAGAGAAACATCATGTGAAAGAGACACATCAATTGGTTGCCTCTCGCACGCACCCCGACCAGGGGCGGGTAGAGAACCCGCAACCCAGGTACATGCCCTTCATCTGGAATTAAACCCGTGACCCTTAATTGCATGGGCCAATGTTCTATTTATTTAGCCACACTGGCCAGGGCCTCCATTTCATTTTTAAAATAATAATGATTTTATGTATACTGTATAAAAGCTTGCATTGTGCTATTTTTTATATTCTAATATTTTTATTCCATAGAAAATGAGAATTTATCACAAGAAGATGGTCTTGAAGTTAAAGAGCCACTTCTTTTAGCCACATATGAACCAAATCCAGAGAAAGACGCCTGGGACATGCAAAATAACTCAGTGGAATCATCTTTTACGGATTCTTCTGTAGTTTCAGGTACTTGGAAAACCTGCATACTTTACATACACGAATTACTAAGTCACAAAAAAATCAGTGGGTGCATTGATCACATCAGGGTCTGTTAAGCTGAGTGAGAAAATTTGAACTTTGGGGTTTTGTGAGCATTTTTATTAAAATAATATTTTTAGAAAAGATTAAATTAAAATAATTCCTCTTGGTGGCTAAAAATGTTTTCAAAACTAATGCAATATTAATGTTATGAATATGAACACATTTGGTTCTAATTTTACTTTACAAGACATCTGTGGGCCTTGTAAGTGATAAATATCATAAGCATGCCCTATATTTTCATGGCTTTCAAATACTTTATAGTCATGTGCCACATGAAGACGTTTCGGTCAATGATGAAGCGCACGTATGACGGTGATCCCACAGTATCGTGGTGGAGCTGAGAAACTCCCGTTGCCTGGCGCTGCAGCTGCCCTCAGGTGCGTGCTCACCTGTTGGCGGCGACACCGTCATACACAGGGAGCTGCCGGGCATCCAGAGGCACAGCACATGCAGTGACCTGCGGTGCATAATACTTGTGAAGACATGACTATGCTACTGATTTAGGTATTTCCTATCCTAGGCTTTGTATCACTGTTTTAGAGTGTACGCTCCCCACTTACACCTAAACGGGTTTGCTTTAACACAGCATGTCCTGTTAGCCTGGCAGCGGCCTCGTACGTCTCGCTTTACTGCATTCCTCCATTGCATCATTTTCTCTTGCCACTGATTTCATCTTCTGCTGTTTTGCACAAGAACATGCTGCAAAGGCATGCGGCCTGTGAGTGGGCAGCTGCCCCCACGGAACAGGTGTGGAGCAGGCCGCGCCCTTGGGGCTCGTGTGTGAGCTCCGGCGTGTCCGCACAGCGACAGAACCCCCCGACGACATTTCTCAGGAAGCGTCCAGTTGTTTTGCAGCTTGTTTCACCCAGAGCTCTGATAATTAAGTCAGGCCATCACCCTCGCCCCTGCGTTGCTGACTGGGATGTCTCAGAGACGGTCAGCTGGGTTGCAGGCTCAGACCAAGGCTGTGGAAAGGAGGGTGAGCAGGTGTTAAACTGGTGCTGGCTTGAATCGCAGTAACTAATTGGTGTGAGAACCAGATACCACTATGCCCACCTTTTTCATGTAAAACAGATCTGCCACGATCAAACTAATTTAATTTTGTTCTCTCTGATTTGTTCAAGATATAACCCTTCTCTCCTCTCCCATCTCCTCAAAAGGGCCACATTCTATTTTCTCAAGAAATACTTACAGGCTGTGGTGTGCTGATAAATATTTAACAAGAAGCTCTCTGGGGAAAAGAAAAACGCCCTGATTGGTAGCATGTACCAATCTCCACGGTGTAAATGCTCCTACTAAGGTTGATTTCAAGCCTCCATCATGATGCCACTGAGCACAAAGTTGGTGGGAGACATGCAGTAGCAACCATTAGGTAGCATTTCCACCACACAGATGCAATAGGCATAAATGGCCTCGACATCACAGATAATATAGTAAAATGATCAGGAAACGGTGGGTGTTAAGTATTCATTACCTTTGTTTTAATATAATTTAATTATAAGCTTGTGTAATTTAATTTTTTAAAATGCTGGTTCACAAAATTCCTGAAAATTTAACAATCGGCTCTTGTGAGCTGATATTAAGCTGACTCCAGCATACCACTGTAAAGTTTACTATTTTTGACTCAGAAAAGTAATATGGCTGCATTGCAGCAAATTTAAAACAGAAACATAGAAAGAAAAAGTCACCCATACTCCCACAGTATAGATAACTCTTAACAGGTGGGTGTGTAGCCTTCCGGTCTGTTTACACACCTGGATGTTTATATATAAGGACATTTCTCCGGTGCTCATTAAATGTTCTTCTACAGAATGGCTTATAAAAATTCTGGATGCATTATAAAAGATTATCTCGTTGTTGAACATTTAAGATGCTTCCAAATTTCTGCATCAGAAATGATCCTGCATCTCAAATAAGGGTTTTTCACCAAAAGTTGCCTAATGCATCTCATCAGATTGTACCTTACGTATGGAGGATTCTGAGTCTCTAAGTGGACAAAGTTAAGGCAAAACCTTTTACAATTTCTGTTTTCTTACTGTTTAATATAAAACTTAATGCTGCATCTTGTGGGGGAAAAATCTGGATCTTAATAATAGCCATAGGGAACAGAAGGGGTTTTTTGCTTTGTTTTTTTTCCTCCTGGGTTTTCTCCCATCTTCTCTTCCCTTCATTTCTTTCATTTAACAGATATTTATCATGTCCCAGGAATGTAAATCCAGTGGGGGAACAACAGAAATGGCTTTTGCCCCATGTTGCTTTCAGCCGACCCCTGTGTCAGCCAAACAATAGTAATTATATTAGCTGCGTAGTAGGTGCTATGCAATAGGACTACAGTAAGTGCTATGAAAGGAAAGTGCAGACTATTAAAATATATAATAGTCTGAGAACATGCGACAGTAGAGTAAGATGTACAGTAATCTGAGGACTCCATCCCATACACAGGCTTTAATGATCATCTAGTCTGAAAGCGCCTTGTGATGTAGATTTAGGAGCAGATTAGTACAATACCTCACTTAGGAAAATGTAGTGCCTTTGCTTTAGCGTGTAGACACTGCTGCTGTGGATTATTCCAAGTGTCTGTTCATTTTCTTGTTGTTCTTCGGAACTAAAAGTCCTGATTTAAATAACTTGTAAAATGCCATTAGCCCAAAGAAGTTATGGGAGTTCTTTTGATTGAAATTTTTATTGCAAAATTTACTATGGAAGGATTTTGCCAAATTAGCACTTGGACAGAATTAACAATCAAAATAAATGTGAAAGTATTCTATAGCCTCTAACATGAATTTACATAATTTTGTTTTGCATATTTTATTGATATTGATCATGTATAATCTTTATTTTGAATTCTAATGTATTGTGTTAAGATTTCAAGTACAGTTACCAAAATGGCAGTGAAAGAAACTTTTTACTTAAGGTGCACATAATCTGTACATATGAATTTTCATATGCAGAAAGAAAACATTTGACTTGAATTCTTTCCAATTTCAAACGAAGACTCTGTAATTTTATTTCTAAACCAGTTTCTAAAATATTTTTCAATGGATACAAATGTTAATTATTTATAATTTTAATGCAAAGATTCTTCATATATTGATAGTTAGCTCCTTTTACTCCTAATATATATCTGATGGGTGAGACAGACTGCCATTAACAACAGTGGCCTGCCCTGAAATCAATTTTAATCACCTTCGCCTTTATCCTAGGAGTGGTAAATCAGAATTCCCCAGGATAGATCTGGAGGGTGATTTCATCACGTCTCCACATTGGGGTTGGCGTTTCTTCTTCCTTCCTCCTTCCAACTGCTTCCCATTTAAAAAGTGGTTAATAATTAAGATATGCCAAAAGTTTTCTATTTTCTCTTTTTCCAAGTTAACGCAATAATTTCTAAAGAATATTTGAATAGTTCTCAGACTATTTTACTTACAGCAAGTAAGTAATTATCTGTATTTTAAAAATTCTATCAGTGTACAGTAAAATCGACTGTAAAATCAGTTTTAGTTGTCTGCTACTGTTTCTGTCACAAGAGAGTAGTTATTTTACATCGACATTTTAATTATACTATTTTAGGAATTAATGTTCCATACTAAAATAAAATAAAATTAAATAGATTCACAACTAAATAAAATTTATTGTGTTTGGAATAAACTTACCTTCATGCAGAGTTCTGCAGAAAATCTCCCAAACTTCTTTTATGTTGGACCTTCCTGTTGTCGAATTAGAAAATGCAAATACCTGAGGCTGGCCAGCAGAGGGCGCCTTTACATTTATAAAGAGAGCGGAATTCACTGTTCAGTATAATGTAACAGTGTAGAATGTGCCATGAGTGAATATACAGTGCGCATGAGTATGAATGCATGTGTATATTTTGATTTATATATTCGTTCACGTGAAGATTTTAAAATTCCACCCCAGCTAATGAGCTTACCAACCTGCTTGTTTTCAGACTTTAATACCTTCTTTTTCATATTCCCCCATATGTTCCACTCCCTAGGTTTATCCGGTGACATTATGCTTTGGAATATATTGTGGATATATTTTGCATAGATCATGTTCTGTAGGAGGGGTTTAAAAATTGACCTTTATGAAACAGCCTCTTTCTCCCTGGCCCAATCTGTTATAGCACTTTTGTTGTTGTTGTTTTGTTTTGCCTTTTTATAGACCAAAGTCCAATCTTAGATTTGTTCTATACTATTTTCTGTTAAAATGCCACAAAATTTATCCTTGCACTTGAGGACCAGAATAATGTTCTATAGCACTAACCTCTAGAAATTTAGAAATTCTTAGAATCTCTACAAATAAATACCATATAGCAGTTGAGATCTTAGTGGGGAAGAGAACTGATACAAAAGGTGTAATAACATTGTGTCAGAATAGCCTATACTATAGCATCCTCCCATGCACTGAAGGGTCTCGGGTTCGATCCCCAATAGGGGTGAGTACAGGAGGCAACCAATTGATATTTCTCTCTGTCTCTCTCTCCCTTTCACTTCCTCTCTCTCTAAAATCAAGTTTTAAAATGTTTATAATTCATCATTTGAACAATTATAAATTATTAGCATAATGCACGTGTGGTCATCTCAGTTGATGTTCGCAGGAAAGCCCATAATCAAAGGAATATACCCTTTGAGGTGCTAGAAGTGGGTGATACTGGCTTGCAGGAGCCAAACACGCACAGGACTTCCTACCTCCACACAATGACATCACAGTGGTAGCTTGAAATCAGCCATGGAAGAAATATTTACATTTCAAAAGTCAGCAAACACTTAAATCGTGGCGTTTTCCCTCCAAAGAGCCCGACTTTTGAACATTTCCCAGAACCCCCTTAAATGTATCTTTCCACATACTTTCCTCATGTCTGCTTATGTCCGCTTAACTTGCACAGCTCTTCCCAAAGGGTGCTTATCAGCTAAAGAAGTTGGCAAGTC